CACAGGACCTTCTTGGGCTACTCTAGCTAGATAATTACTAAACCACAGGACTTTCTTGGGCGACTCTAGCTAGATAATTATCAAACCACAGGACCTTCTTGGGCTACTCTAGCTAGATAATTACTAAACCACAGGACTTTCTTGGGCGACTCTAGCTAGATAATTATCAAACCACATGACCTTCTTGGACTACTCTAGCTAGATAATTACTAAACCACAGGACTTTCTTGGGCGACTCTAGCTAGATAATTACCAAACCACATGACCTTCTTGGGCTACTCTAGCTAGATCATTACCAAACCACAGGACCTTCTTGGGCTACTCTAGCTAGATAATTACTAAACCACAGGACTTTCTTGGGCGACTCTAGCTAGATAATTATCAAACCACATGACCTTCTTGGGCTACTCTAGCTAGATCATTACCTAGTTACAGAACTTCGCAGGCTTGTTGACGTCTATATTGTTTACTTTTTTAACATAAACATAGGTATTACGTTCCTTTTAGCCAAGAGTATTTTGAAGACGCTTAAAGTTTATACTGCCAATGCAATGTTTATGTTACATGTTAAGTTCATAGTGTTTTGGCAGCTATCAAGACTCGTCTCAGCGGGCGCTACTAAGATTTAAACAAATAAGTATTTAAGTTTGCATGTTTCTGTTTTTACCCACCCAAAAGAGATATAGTTGCTTATTAACATATGTTGATGAGCAACTATATCTTCGAAGACATTTTCCTCAAGGCTGTACTATTTCAATAATCAAATGAATGGTTACCTAAATTTGAAGTCAAACAAGAAATATATTTTGACGATCACGAAGGAAAAAGAAATTATATACAAAAGTCACGAGAAAAAGCAGATAATTATGTGTCTATATTCATAGTGGAAAGTTATATATTAAAAAGAAACGTAATTTTAGGTAAAGAAATAATATCAATTGTTGAAAACATCAATAATTTTACCTCTTCTCCATGGCGCTGTAAGACATCGTAATAGCTATAACCCAGTTTCTCTGCAAGGTTGTTTTTTCTACCCTTTTCACATAGATAAGTATCAATGAGAAAGCAGGTTTGGTTACCGTAATTGAAAGATCGACAACGCGCCCATTTCCTGTTTTCCTGTAAGCACAAAGCAAGGCATTGATAGACTGTAAGTGAAGAAACCACCTCGGCAGGGACTACGTCCAGTATTTTGTTATGTCTGTACTTGGAAGCTGCGTAGTTAGCGATAATCGTTTCATACACGTGAGGAGAAAACTGACCTCTTGAAATGTCAGGAGAACGTAATAAACTTAGGACTAAAATGTAGAATATGACCATTTTGAATTTATAAAATTCTGATAGTTTTAAATTCTGGTGTCCGGTCAGATTAAGGAGTTCTTTCTTGGTTGTCTCACTGAGAGTGATTTAATTCTCCCGTTTTATCTTTGTTTTATCTTGGGTTTATGTACGTGACAATTGCATGCTAGGGACCGTATGTGAATAACGTTTCTACCCTTAAAATATAAATAGAGTTACGCTAAAATCTCAATTATGAAGAAGTAACTTTAGTAAATTCCGAGAACTGTAGCATAATAAGAAAATATAAAACCACCTAAACACAGACTTAGGATAAAAAATATGAAAAGAATTCTCTCTAAAATGCAACAAAGTAAATGAGGCTATATCCTAAAATTCTGAGCACGTCCGACATTGTCCAAGCGTGTAATGACATTTCAGTCGACCGAGGAATAATACGTATAGCGAACTGACTTGCTAATGAGAACGAATTCGCGTAACGCATTGCGGACAGACAGACAGACACACACACACACATATATATATATAAATAGAGAGCACAATAAAGCAACAACTCCATAAGTTTCTGTAAAATATTATTTAATTTATCTGCATTACAATCAATTAACTTCTCACAACTGGCAACAGACAATGAATGAAACTAACTTTAGTTTTGGTACATTCTAGGTTGAAGACCCTTAATCTACTTTTGAATTTCTTTTCAGGTTTGTGAACATAGATTAAGTTTGAAATAATAAACTTGCCAACATGGTTTAATTGAAAAAGAGCATGCCCTATTGACATTTTATCCACTGCATTTAGTTGGATATCTATAAGTATTTTGCAATGGCTACTTTTACTGCGAATTTAACGTTTTAACATTCCTCTAACATTAAACGATACAAATGTAACATATTGTAAACAAATCAGTTATTTTTCTTAAACTTCTTTTGAACTAATAATTTAACAATTTTATCTTTAATATTACTTTATCGACATTCTATGTTTTGAGAATGAGAAGTTTCATAAGTGTGTTTTAAAATTTATCTGAATAAAATACATTTCAGACATGTAAATGCAAAGTTTCTTAGTAATGTGAGCTTGCGTGTTTTAATATATCTTTCTTAAATTTACAAAGTGAATACTTATCGATCTCCAGAACGTTGATTATATGTTTTGGCTTTTGTTGAGCACAAAACTACAAAAGGGACTATCTGTGCTCTTCTCACCACGGGTATCAAAACCCGATTTTTAGCGTTGTAAGCCTGCATTCTTTTCACTGAATCACTGGAGAGCGTTAATCACTCTTTAAAAGAATGATTTGCATGTAGTAATATAAAAGTGTGTTACCACATATGCCAGCCGTGTCGCCACACACTACATGTTTGCCGCCTATATTTGTTTTACATTCGGCTAATATAAAAGTGTGTTACCACATATGCCAGCCATGTCGCCACACACTACATGTTTGCCGCTTATATTTGTTTTACATTCGGCTAATATAAAAGTGTGTTACCACATATGCCAGCCGTGTCGCCACACACTACATGTTTGCCGCCTATATTTGTTTTACATTCGGCATTACGGATAAAGCTATGCTTGAAGAGTAATTACAAACTTTTCCAAAGAATGATACACGTTTGATGAAGTGGCTAAACAGTGTAGAGCTAAACGTTTTGAAGAAGGAAGCCTTCACTGCTATACGTGGAAGCATAGAAACTTGCACAACGAACCGTTTAGGATTATTTGTTTGTTTCGGAAATTTGCGGGAAGCTACATTAGAGCCAGGACCGGAGTTAGTTTAACTGGCTTCCCTTTAGGGAGAAATTAAGGCTGCGTACCTACTTACACTGGAGTTATACGGTCAAATACAATAAGCATAATTACTGAATAGTAGCGTGTAATAATAATTCAACGAGATTTGTTAGCATCTTCGGTTTAAAAATTAAGGCTAATTAACTATAGCCCATAAATAGTTTTAACAACATCAAACTGTTAGTTTAATATACTATCATCTTTCGATTGTTTTTCATAAGTTTAACGTCATTTCCGAACTCACTTAAATTCATCTATTGCAAACACTTTGTAGATTTTTACTGAAGTTACGTAGCTTAAACCAGAAATCCCACACACATTAACTAATCAAAGGGCAAGTAAGGTATGTATGCATATTGTCCACTCAATGGTTTAGCACTAACTCAACCGAAACTCAGAAACTTAAACACAGATACAAAACTACTGGAAGTCGAAACGTTTGCTTTTATTTACTCTCTACTACAGAGAGTTGAGTATTTTATATTAAAACTATTTTGAATATGCAGATCAGCAAGCCACGTGACAACCACAGCCGATAGAAATTCACGATTGAACGGCACATATCAGAAGTACACTTGACGTTATTTGTTTGATACCACCATAAATCTTTCGTTTTTTGGGGGGAAGGGTATGCAATAGCCCTTTGTGACGTATGATATTAATGCACTCAGACTTTTGTTCTATGTACGAAGATGCGAACATAAAGTTTTAACGATGTCTAAGATAAAGTAAAACTGTCAATGAACCTGCAACATGTAAATTAAACTTTTAAATCACACGTTCAATGTAGACTAACATAAGAGAAATATTTAAACTTGAAGCAGTTTTATCAGATGCGCCAGTGTTCCTGGAAAAGACAGGGTGTCCCAGTAATCTGGACCCATAGGGAAAAATACACAATTTATTTATTATTCAAATTGCATGCCATCAACAGCCACACACATATCAATTCTTGGTATACTGAGCCACCAAGGTATTTTCTTTCTTGAAATATGTACAACTGACATAAGAAATGTGTTTGTTTAACTTTAATAATATAATGTCTGGATTCCCTATAGGTCCATACTTCTGGGACACCTTGTACTATGAGAAACATCCCTCTCTACTATAAATCATGACTCGCGACACAAAACCATTCGACCGACCAGATAAAGCCTATAAATATAGTATCATTGCATTATATTTAAGAAACGAAGCATAAAACTGTATTATTTTAAACCGGCTCAGTTATTTGTCATCAAAACGTTCAACTGGAAGTTTTCTAAGTTTTAAATAATATGAGCTGTGTCATAGGACATAAAAATATTAAACAGATGCCTCAACAATCCAGTAAATACCTACTGTTTTATTCGTATTTCTAGGTGAATCAAAATGATTTACAGAGAAACGGCGTCTTATAGACATAGATGCGATATCTGATCGTTTGCTAACTGTTTATAAAGCATAAAATTGAGTTTCAGATTTATGTAATAGAAAAGTCTGTTTTCTAAACGTGACATTTGTGATTTGAGTTATTTTATGGAAAATCATACCGCATTTATACATTTAGAATACAGGTTATCTTATCTGATTATAAAGTACAAAATGGTGTGATATAAGGGAATATCATATAATTTCTACCTTCTATAGTAATGTAAGATTTTTATTTATTTTTCATTTATTTCTTTTCCTTACCATCATGGCGGCAACACATGATCCAGGAAGAGTTAAGTTAATGTATTCCAGTCACTCTCCTTTCTTTATCTAGGAAGAGTAAGTTAATGTATTCCAGTCACTCTCCTTTCTTTATGTAGGAAGAATAAGTTAATGTACTTACAGTCACTCTCCTTTCTTTATGTAGGAAGAGTTAAGTTAATGTATTCCAGTCACTCTCCTTTCTTTATGTAGGAAGAGTAAGTTAATGTATTCCAGTCACTCTCCTTTCTTTATGTAGGAAGAGTTAAGTTAATGTATTCCAGTCACTCTTCTTTCTTTATGTAGGAAGAGTAAGTTAATGTATTCCAGTCACTCTCCTTTCTTTATGTAGGAAGAGTTAGTTAATGTATTCCAGTCACTCTCCTTTCTTTATGTAGGAAGAGTAAGTT